TTAGAAGACTATATATGTTATCTCAAGTCAAAACCCAAACTGTCAAGCTGAAAAACAGATTTAACGAGTGAATGGTCAACCTATGCCAAAAGGGGGACTCGACCTGAGCATTCCCGAGAGTTCCAGAAGACAAATTGTGTGGTCCAGGTGTCGACCGCTCCAGGGCTTCACGTCGATGCATAGCTTCTAAAAATTACTTCCAGGTTGAGTCGACCACACATTTGACACGAGCAAACCCGAGACTTCCCCAAGGCGCAACTTTTAATCCATGTGTCGACCACTCCAGGGCTACGCGTCGACTCATAGTTTCTAAAAATTACTACCAGGTTGAGTCGATGACACAGTCGACATGAGCAAACTTGAGACTTCCTCAAAGAGAAACTTTCAATCATGCGTTGACCAGAGCTATCTTTGAGTCGACTCAAAGCATAGAGATTTAAAAAAATACCAAACTTTGAAGATTTTTCATTCTTCCTTGTCCACCATATCATCTAGCCACATTTCCAACATATAGTGGAAAGTTTTGAAATCATTGAAACCCTTATTGAAAGAACCTTTCCCTCATAGTTTTGGATTTATCTATGGCATAGTTTTGTTCCCTAACATTGATGACATTGTAGATATCAATGCCATTCGCGTCTTTCTGATTTAGAATCCAGTTCCTACTATGCTCGCAGATACATACTATTATATCCATTACATAAGGGAAAAGAACAGAGGGGTTGTTATATGTTGTGCACCTTTACTGTACAAGTGGTGCACCTTTAATTGATGATTATTTGCGGTTTTAAATTTTTGCTCAGGCTTCATAATTTTCTGGCTTTGCCACTGTCTAAGGTGATAAACTTATGAATGTCAGGAAGTTCAAAATTTTATGATATAAAGTGGTTTGCTCGAAAAATTACATGACATATGGCTCAAATTGTTCAACCAATTTAAGTTATCCAGTTATTTGTTTTTACACAAAACTCCTTCTTGGGAACTTTTATATCTAGAAAGGTTATATTCTTACAACAAGATTTTCCTTTTATGCCAAGTTTAGAAGAATTTTCTCCATTATCACAACAGTCTAATCCTTTTCTTTATAATGACCCAGCCTAGAATATAAAGTCTTTGCTATCAAGCCCATATAAGGTACTATAAATGCTAGCCTTCTTGTGCTTTTGATCAGGCTAGAATAATATTTTCCAAAGTCTTTGATATCAATAAAGTAGTGAGAAATGTTGATTCTTAAGTCATTTAGATTGACCAAAGTATGAGTTCATTTGAAGACATAGACCTAATGAGAGTATAAACCTGGAAAGAGAGAGAGAGGCCCTGATGTTGAGAAAGAGTAAGTGTCATTGGAAACATTTGTATTTAATTCCCATCGAGTCGATGAAACATTTTCTTAGAGAAGGTTTCTATGTATCTTCATGCGCCTTGGGAAGGAAGCTGACACGCTTAGGGAACTTGAGTTTCATTATTGAATTGAGGCTTCATATTGACCGTTGGTTATTACATTTGATTTCCATTGGTTCCATTTCGTTGATCTTGGCGTTGTTTGTGCTTATAAATAAGGAACTTGACCTTTTTTTTATACTTTTTCGACTCCTTTCGTATTTGAGAAAAATCAATTCTCTCCTTCTTGTGATTACTATGATTGTTGTTCACACTTTCTAGGCTTCAAGTACTTGCTCCTGATTTATCAGAACCCGCATTAACACATAATATATGTGTTTCTTAATATTATTCGTTTATCATTTTGTGCTAGTTCTTGAGATATTTCCACCTAGGAAACCTATAAGTTCCTTTTATCGACCTTGGTAGAAATTTAGAGATTAGTGATGAATCTTCCTAAGCCGAGGTGGAGGTGATAAATACCTAAATGGTAGATCTAGAGACGGAGAACCTAGGGGTGTTTATCCTAGAAAATAGAGAGGCCTCTCTTACTTGACTAGATATTAGGGAGGTCGCTCAAGGGTTTACTTTTGTTATAATTATCATAAGGAGGAGTGGAAGGTCCATGCTCACACTAAATGTTATATAAGTAAATTCGATCATGAGCCAACTAATAGTGAAATGTGAGTCCTTGTTTATTTTGGTGAGTGATTAACCTTGGAATTACAAGTGATTATATAGTTGGTACGACATGTTCGTGTTTCCTTTACATGAATATTTATTCTCCCGAATGAGGTTTACCCTCCCCTTTAATGTCTTCAAAGTTGGAGTCATGAACCACTTTGGGATTTCTCCCTCATAGTCACACCCTATTAGTTATGCATGTCTCAAAGTTTTTTAATACTGGTGCGAGTACAAGAATATTGTTCCCATACTAATGTTTTTATTTCCCCTTTTCCATGTCCAACTTACTTCTAGTGATTCTGCTAAAGCCCAGGGGTTAACTTCTTTAACACAATGTCAATAAAATGTTTGACGTCTATATGGATAACTTCAAGAGATTCAAGGTTGGATATTATTTGTCACCTCTATTAACGACACCTCTTACAAGAGCCTGTGTGAGATTACAAAAGGGTTTGTTGATTGTAGTGATTACTCCCCTTCCCTACACTAAGCTCTCCGTCCCCTTCATCATGTGTGGATAAATTCACAAAGTTTTGAAGAGGAGGGGTACCTGAAGAAGAACTTTACGAAGTTTTAGGATCATGGTATTGTCGAAGAGGTGGATCCTTCAGGCAACAACCCATCCATATTTGGTAAAGTAACAAATACTTTAGCTCAATGGTTCTATTTATAGAACTGCTTGTGTGGACGGTAAGTTGGACAAGCCCGCTAAGAATATTATACCTTACGATGTAATGTATTTCACTTTAATACATTGTATATTTTGGTGTTCCGTATTTTACTTAAGTACATCATACTTTACGATGTTCCTTATTTGTCTTAACTACATCATACCTTACAGTGCTCCATATTTCACTTAAGTACACCATACCTTATGGTATATCACATTTCTCTAATTAACGTTACTGCATTGCAAGACCGCACAATCAAATAAAATTCACCTATTTATGTTATCCCATCAATATATCTTTATGTGTGTGTGACCCTGTAGGTTTTTGCGATGTTGCCAATCATATCAAACCACATATTTAATATAATAAACAATGATAAGTATCTAGCAACACATCACTACTATCTAAGCCATGAAAATGTCATGTGATCTGAAAAACCTTTCTGTGATAATGTTTATAAGTATAATTATCCCTTGTTATTATGTCAATATTGATCTCAAGACATAGATTTTTCCACCCTTGTCTAGTTCCATATTGGGTCTTTGGACATTTATTATGTTACACAAGATTGACAAATTCCATCTAGGTCAATATGTCTTGTATAGAAGAATTACAAACATGATCATGGTCTGATGAATCAAGAACATATAAACCTATTTGAAGCTTAGTTGAACCAATCATTTCCTTGGAATGATTCTGCGGGATTTGACACGATTTATTAGTGAACTAAACAAAACATGAATTATTTTGTACCATTTTTTGCTATAGAGAGTAAATTGACATTGAAACTAGGAATGTATAAGACATTGTGGAGAACTAAAGTTGCAGAAAGAGTTATGCTGCCAGAAATATTTGTGGTGACTTGTGAACCATTTGGTAAGCTAACATGGATAGGGACTATTGTTCTATGTGAAGTGAAATTGGACATGTCAACAGTTATATGGTCAGTGGCGCATGTAGAGATGGAATTGGCTTTAGGGTTGGCCTTTGACTGTTGAATTAATTTCAGAATGCTTTGATATTAATCTTGAGTGAAGCAAAGCATGGATTGAGATGAGCTTTGTTCTGGAAATGTTTGACCTATTTCAACAGAAGCAACAAACTGTGAATTAGAATTAATGGATTTTCCTTTACCTCGAAATCCTGGTGGGTAACCATGTTTGAGAAAACAAGTCTCAATAGTGTGGTTGTTTCTTCCACAGTGTATAAAGACTCTATTTGTTCCCTTAGCTCCTCCATAGTTGTTACCTTTTCCTCTGAAATGGTTGTTGCTATGTCTTCCAGAATTGTTACCAGATGCAACATTCAGATGAAGTGTTGTTGATTCTTCAAAAGAGGTGGAATTCGAAATAACATTTTGAGATGTGTTGAGTTCTCTTTCCTGCTGAATAACCAGGAAAATGGCTCATCATCATGATTTGAGTCTTGGATTGATTGGATTTCTCATTCAATTCTTTAAGGAAATAAATTACATAATCTTGCTCGCGATATTTGCGTACAACGGAAAGAGCTCCACAAGAGCCGGATATGACGCAAGAACACGCAGCAATAAGTCTGTAAGCTTCTAGCTCATCCCATATCACCTTCATTTGAGTAAAGTAATTTGAAACATCCAAGCTACCCTGACGAAATCTATACAAGTCTTACTGAATATCAGATATGCGAAAAATATCACCTTGCAAAAAACGGATATGTAGGTTTCTCCATACACCAACAGCGCTTCCAATCCATAGTACGGGCTTCGCAATCGATTCTGATATGGAACGATGAATCCATGTTAAAACCATGGTGTTGCATCGCACCCAAAGAGCATAAAGCACATAAGATACTGGAGGTTTTGGAAGCGTGCCATCAATGAATCGTTCTTTATTCTTTGAGATCAATTCAATGTGCATTGACCTAGTCCAAGTATGATAATTCTTATCATCAAGAAGTGGAGTAACAAGGATCAAGGATGGATTTTCGTTAGGGTGAAGATAGTATGGGTTGGAGAAATTCGTAGAAAAGTCTGTGAAATTCTAGTATGCCATCAAAGGATAAACAAAACAAACTTGATTGCAAAAGAAAGGGAAAGAAAAATGAAAACGATGATGATCCTCACTGAAAAACAAGAATCACAAATCGCAAGAACAAAATGAAAGAGTCACAAGCGGAAGAAAACGAAGCAAATCAAAAGATAACATATTTGCAATCAAGATGAACAAAGGAGAAGATATTTACCAGAAGGGAAACGATGGCTACCAGAGCTTTTGAAGCTCTGATACCATGTTAATGGTGAAGCATTCACCATGTGAATCCTTGGAGAAGAAACAATGTAACAGAAAACTAACAACAATAACCGAATCAGTTGGAGAAATATTGAACTCTTTCATTGACAAGAAAATAGATTACATGTATGGTTTATATATAAAGATGCTTCCAAAGGAGCTTCTTTTGGTCCTTGTTACTGTTCCAGCTAAAAGACTAGCCACGTTAAAACCATTCCATCAAGACCCACATCATTGTTTGGTGCAACCACTGGTGAACTTTGCGGACAGTAAATTGGTTGGTGAAACGGCCACGCACACTGACCAGCACATTGAGTTTCTGAATTCCCAACCCAAATGTACGCGAATTTGTGTTGTTTTCCGTTCACACGCGCACCGTAAAAAGAACCGTGTGTTCCACACCTACTTGAACAAAAACTAAATGAGGTTTATGGAAAATAAAAGTAACATGAGCGTATAGTTGAAGTCAAATTCTGTTGGAGTTGTGTGGAGTTGCCAGCTAGAATACGTGTTCCTATTTTATTATTCCAGTTAGTATAATTTTTGGATACCTTTAATAATTGTAACCAAATTCATGGGTTTGTTGTTGTGCCGCTAGCAGCCAGTATTGATGGACAATAACAGCACAGCACAGCTATGGAACTAAACGACAAAGCTAAGTTCCGTTTATACAAGGCATGCCCCTTGTTTCGGGTCCATTAGAGTTGAAGAGCGTCACTTTTATTCCTCCACAAATATTTGCGGGATCTGATTGCAAATTTGGCGGCTCGCGTTTTTTATGGACTTTAGTCTTTTCTAACTTTGTTTAAACTCTTTTCCTATATTATTCCTATTTTATTTGACGTTTTCACAAATTATGTTTGTGTATATTTTATATATAGAAATATAATTGTTAATTATTTTTTATTTTTTATTTTTTATATCATAGTCAAGAATGAGAATTTATATTTTCATAGAAAGATAAAATTGCCTAACTTTCAACTCTCAATCTCATATTGATAAAATTGTGTCAACTTCATTACTAGCATTTTACATTAATGAGTTGAGATTTATAAGTCATGCCATTCTTATATTTATAGGAGTTTATGCACGAAGGTATCATGCATGGAGAGTTTATGTCACCACGCAACATCCTTTTACACATGTGCATGGTGATCAAAGTTTACAAAAGCTTTACCATACAAGGGATAGATGTAATCTATAGTATATAACATGATTTTGAGCTACTCCTCTCATACTGCTCCACAAGATTAAGGAGAGATTTGAATCGTGACCTTGAACTTGGTTTGAAGATCTTGAAAAGGTGTTCTGCTAAGAGGTTTAGGGAGGGTGTTTGTAACATCCTTCTAAAACCTATAAATAATATAAATAAATAATTAGAATATTTCATCAAAAGGGTGTCACATACTTCATAAAACATCATACATGTATGTCTTACTCTATAACACAGATTTTCAAATAATTATAAAACGTTTACTACGCAGCGGAATTCATAGTTCAAAACGTCTTTATTAAACACATCATCAAAAATTAGTTGTTCATGGTTCATAATTCGAAACAACTTACATATCATGAAAGGTAGTTCAAGATCTCATAATAAAATAAAGGAATATAAAGTTCAAAATCAAATGTTCTGGATCTCGATGTTACATATCAGAGCAAGACCTTCTAAAATCAACGGGAAAAAAATAACACACTCCAAGCTATCTTCTAAGCTTTTAAGAACTACTTCTGATCATTTGTGTGTTACCCATGTGGAGGCAACATTCAAATAGAAAGGGTGAGTAATCACATTCATTGCAAAAGATATACGGAATAGACATAGTAGTTCAAACAGAAATATCATAACATCAAAATCAACAACATTATCAATACATGGCCAATTAGTATAACAACATATACAACATCATCTAGTCAACAATTATCCAATGCCACATAAGATGTAATCCAATAACATAGACTCATGCATGTGGTACCAATTCGTTATGAGTACTAGACTCATCACCCTCCAAAGATCTCCACCATATGATTGATTCTCTCTTGGAACCAGAGCATAACATCGACACACTCAATCCACACAATGGAATTGAGGCCAACACTAAATCAACGTCCTAAATCAACATGGGCGGATCAAAGTTGTCCAAATTATGCCATGAATGCATAATGCACAACAACAAAATATCAAATGACTAGAGTTGGTCAAATTGCATCATCATTCATGAAATCATCAACATCATTCAATATATCATAGTCACAATATATTACCATTATAACATTCCCAGTTCATCATAACAACATACATCATGATAGACTACCTCATTAGGAGTCTAAGTATACCTTAGCCTATGTACTTGAAATATATATCTTTTTACTCATTTTATTTCATCTACATGTAGTTCATCGCGTTAGCTATTCAATACTTCAAACGGCGCCTCAAACAGAGTTCTAAAACTCAAGTTATGGCCCTTTAAAAATCCTACTGTTGTCTGTCGCCCGGTGCTCGCCCGACGAAGCAGTCTGCTCGCCTGAGGCCCACCCAACGATGTGGGAGCGATAACACCACCATTCTCCTCTGGTCTCCATCTCTCGAAAAAGCTTCTTGCTTTCCTGGAGACACATCTCTTGTTCTTGCATCGCCCGACGATGCGGGAGCGAGGAGACCTTCTCCATACAAAAATCCAGGAGCACCACTTTTTCCCCATTCCTTCACTTCTTAGCTCGCCTGGCAACGACCAGGCGTCATTACATCGCTCGGAGACACATCCCTTCACCCAGCGATGCATAGCAGACATCAACTTCCTGTTGCAATTCTACACCTGTTTAGCCCCAACTCCTTTTGCGATTTCATGCCAATACAGTCCAGATTCTCATAGTTCTCAACACATAATCATCTTATCACAACTATAGAATATTATAGGCATTATGTACAAAAACTCATGGCAATTCAACATGTTATTTCAATCAATTTCAACATAATTTTATCACAATACAAGATATCATCAAATTATCAAAACCCCAACAAATCCCAACGTACCTCAAGACCCCATATCAATTATAATGACAGGTCACCCCCTTACCTTAAAATTCCTATCTTGGGCCTCTAACGACTCCTTCATTTGATCCTCATGCTCCCAAGTCTAACTTCCACCAGCTGGTCCACCCCGTAATACCTTCACTAAGGCAATGTCTTTACCCCGTAATTTTTTCACTTACTGATCTTCTATTTGCACGGGTGATGCTTCAACATTCAGGTTATCTCTTACCTGTACATCATCTATCTGAATCACATGCGAAGGATCCAAAATGTATTTTCTCAACTGAGACACATGAAACACGTCATGAAGATTTGTAAGCGACGAGGGTAAAGTAATCTGATAATCCACCTCACCTATCTTCTCACATATATGATATGAACCAATGAAACGCGATATAAGCTTTCTCGATTTCATAGCTCTACCAACACCAGTCACCAGAGTGACCCTCAAAAACACATGATCATTCTTTTGAAACTCAATCGCCTTTCTTCACTTATCTTGATAACTCTTCTGATGATTATCAGAAGCTCTCATCTTCTCTTGGATCATCTTGATCTTTTCAGTCGTTTCTTGCATAATTTCAGGTCTGAGCACAACACTATCACCTAAGTCATGCCAACACAATGGAGTCTTACACCTCCTATCATACAATGTTGTATACAGTGCCATCCCAAAACTAGTATGAAAACTATTATTGTACGTAAACTCAATCAAAGGAAAGTGGTTGTCCCAAGCACCTCCTTGTTCTAACACACAAGCTCCCAACAAATCCTCTAAAGAATGAATAGTCCTCTCGGTCTGACCGTCCGTCTGCAGATGATATGCATAACTTAATCTCAACTTAGTACCAAAAGCATTCTACAAACCTTCCTAGAACTTTGACGTAAACCTCAGATTTCTATCTAACATAATACTCGAAGGTATAACGTGAAACTTTATGATCTCATTAATATACATCTCTGCCAACTTCTCCACGGAATGATTAATTTTCATCGGTAATAAATGAGCCGACTTAGTCAATATATCCACGATCACCCAAATTGAATCATTGCCTTTGGCGGTCTTTGGCAATCCCGATACGAAATCCATGGAAACACTATCTCATTTCCACTATGGAATACTCAAAGCTTGCATAATACCTGTAGGCTTCTGATGTTCAATCTTGGACTTCTAAAAATTCAAACAGGCATACACAAATTTTGCAACTTCCTTTTTCATTCTCGGCCACCAAAATAATTTCTTCAAATCCTGATACATCTTCGTAGCACCCGAATGAATACTCAAACCATTTCAATGTCCTTACTCAAGAATACTCTTTTTAAGCTCTGGAACATCTAGAACACATACTCTATTACCAAACTTCAACACAACATTTTTATGTACTCAGAGTTCATCATTGTTACCTTGGTTTATTAACGTTAATCAGTCCACCAAACTTAAATCACATTTCTGACCTTCTCGGATTTCTTTATGGAAACCATTGGTCAGTTTCAATATTCCTAACTTCACACTGTTAGATGTATCTTCACATACTAAACTCATGTCTCTAAATTTCTCGATCAATTCCAACTCCTTCACCATAAGCATCGACATATGTAAGGACTTCTTACTCAAAGCGTCAGCTACTACGTTTGCTTTAACGGGATGGTAACTCTAGTCAAAATCATAGTCTTTCAAAAGTTCGAGCCACCTCATTTTCCTCATATTTATTTTTTTTCTAATCAAACAAGTACTTCAGACTCTTATGATCGTTGAATACTTCAAATTTAGAGCCAAAAGGATAATGTCTCCAATTTTTCAGCACAAACACCACTGCTGCTAGTTCTAAGTATTGTGTAGGATAATTCCTATCATGCACTTTTAATTTCCTAGAAGCATAAGCAACAACCTGTCCATTTTGCATTAATACGCCATTAAGACCCATTTTAGACGCATCACAATAAACAACGAAAGATTCATTTAGATTAGGTAAAATCAACATCGGAGAAGTCGTCAACTTCTTCTTTAGTTCCACAAAACATTCTTCACACGCAACATTCCACACATAAGCTTGACCCTTTCGAGTCAACTGAGTTAACGGTAATGCTAACTTAGAAAATTATTCAATAAACCTTCGATAATATCCATCTAAACCAAGAAAACTTTGAATCTCGGTTGCAGACTTCAGAGTCTCCCATTGTAACACAACATCGACTTTAAAAGGATCTACATCAATCCCACCACTAGAAATCACATGGCCAAGGAAACCCACTTCCTCTAACCAAAATTCACACTTTGACAGTTTTGGCCAAGGAAAATCGTATCGCAAACATCAAAGATTTGTCTTCTAAGAGTTTGTCCACTTGCTTAGCTGACAACAACATTAGC